TGTGCTTTGCTAAGCTTGTTCTAAGTAGGTGCTTTAGACCACTGAGCCATCTCACCAGCCCTGCTGCTTTGCTTTGACAACCACATTTCTGGTTGTGGGTCTGGTAGCCCTGACAGGATAGGGCAAGAAGCAGGACAAGATTCATTAGCAGTGCTGCCGTTGGGCACATTTGCTTCATCTCATCTTTGTCCCCACAGGAGTGATCACCTATGCCATAGGCGTTGCGTGGGCTGCTCAGGATGAACTGGACATCATTGCCACCCACCCTGCCAGGAACCACTCCTTCTTTGTGGATGAGTTTGACAACCTCTACACATCTGTCCCCAAGATCATCCAGAACATCTGTATGGAGTTCAACTCACAGCCTCGGAACTGAATTCAGAGCAGGCAAAACCTGGCAAGTGCTGCCTTCCTGACTGACTCTTGGGACCATGCCCAGATAGCATTTCAGGGCACATGCAGGGTGGTGAGGCTGGGCTGGGGCTTGGGAAACAGATGCATTGCTGTTGTCCTTTACTATCATGGCTGTCACACTTGAAAATTTGGAGTTAGAGTGATGGTTATCAGTGTATAGAGAAAGCCAAAGTTGTGTATCATTTTGAGTGTGCTCACACCTTTATTTTTTGACAGCTGTTTCCAGAATGTGTGCTCAGAAGAGAATGCAGCACTTAGGTTAAAATCAAGCTTTTGTGAAAAATTTAAAAATTTTTCTTTCTCATGAGAACTTTTCCTCCAGTTTCATTTCATCATGATGATGTAGAAGTTGCTTAATTAAACATATAAAAAGATTACCTGATACTTTCTGATGGTGTGATATGTCGTAGTCGCAGGATTTGGGGGGAGGCTACCCTCCGATCTTCCTTGCCCATGAGGACCACACCACATACCTGTAGGGGCTCACACAGTGTGGCAGCAGCATAGCCTCTCCTGATTTGCCCCCCTCTCACTAATTCCTGAAGCTCAGAACCTCTGTAACACTTTGGTCCTAGAGGACCGAGTGCATCTTGCCCAAAGGTAGTACATGAGGCTACAGAATCACTGGGGACTGAATTCCTTGTTGCTAGGCCCTGTCCCCATACCTGTGAAATGTGGGCTGGTGGGCTTGGAGCCTGAGGACTGGCATGTCTGATGGCCTCACTGGCGATCCTTATGCCTGAGAGCCAGTGAGGGTTTAGTGTTCAAGCAGCTTCCTGGGAGAATCTCCGTGCCGGTTGTCTTGGGCCCATCCGGTTTAGCATTTGCCCTGGATATTTCAGTGAGATATCACTTATCATTGATTTCTGCCATTAGAATACGCTGGGAGTAGTTTGGTTGACGAATTTTTTACTTACTCTTCCAAGGATTTGCTTATCAGGGTGTGAAATGCATGTGCAATCAGGAAATAGGTAAACAAAATCTTAAGTGGATATGATTTAGTGGATAAATCATGTTTTATAAAAATATGTATTGAGGAGTGCTACTTTAAAATGAGGAAAAGGGACAGCATGTGTCAATAATTGAAACAAAATAGTCACATAAAAAATAGAACTGAAGGAGGGCCGGCCAAATAGCTCAGCGGATTAAAGCACCTGCATAGGCAGACCAAGAGGCTGGGGTTGATCCCAGGTGAGCTGTGCCGGCCCTGCCCCCGGGTGCACTGAAATGAGATTGGGCATGGTGGCACGCATCTGTAATCCCAGCTCTCTGGGAGGCTGAACACAGGTGGATCACTGAGTCTGATCTACGTAATGAGACACACACACACACACACACACACACACACACACACACACAAATAGAATTGAGATGTCACTTATTGAGCAGAATTTGCAGAGCCTACCAAATTTCTTAGTTCCTAGAGAAGACTGGAGAGGGAATATTCTCAATTAAAAATAGTGTGGTCTACAGGAAAGAATCAATGAAGGATGTCTGACATTTCAAATTTGTTTAATCATAAAATTTATTTTGAAGAAAATTGCCAACACTTTTTGCTTCAACACTTCAAAATATGAAAACAAGTTTTGTGTTTTTATTTGTGTGTGTGTGTGTGTGTGTGTGTGTGTGGCCAGCTCAGCCCACCAGGGGGCGGGGCTGGCTGGCATGTGGTGCTGGGGGATTGAACCGTGGTCCCTGTGCTTTGCCAAGCCTGCTCCAAGTAGGTGCTTTAGACCACTGAGCCATCTCACCAGCCCCAAAGACAAGTTTTTGAAAAGGAAATTCTTCAGAAAGATACCAGTGGCACTGTAGTTGTGGCAGACTCAGCTAAGAAACGAATTTAAAAACTTAAGTACTGGGACCAATGATCCTACCAATGTGTTGGACTAGGACAACAATTCACGCAACAGAGTTTTCAGCATTGCTTCAGTCACGCATGTATGCTGTTTTAACTTTTTAATTATATTTAGGAAAATGGTTTTCAACATAATTTCAGTCTCCATAGTAATTTGATTCCAAGATCCTCAGTGGAGACCCAAGCCTTCGGATGTCCAAGCTGCTTGTATTATATGGCATCGTGTTCACAATAGCTTATGGCGTCCAATGTAAATACTAAGTAGGTAGGAGTTTTACTACATTGCTTAAGGAGTGATAAGAAAAAAGTCTTGCAGACATCCAGTGTAGAGATTTCTTTTTAAATATTCTTGATCTGAGGTTGGTTGAACACAAGAATGTGGCAGGACAATGGTATTTTTTAGGGCCTTAACATAAAATCCAATTTATTAGCATTAAGCACATTTTTCTAAAAATAATGTGGTGTTAATTATTTTGATGTCTTCTTTCATTCATAAAACAGCCCCAGCTTGGAAAATCAGTGACATGGTCAGCAGGGTACCCACAGTCCACACGCTGCTGACAAATACTTGCCTGTGTGCTGGGTGGAGGAAGGAACCCAAGAAGTGAGGATGGAGTAGCTGGGAGCCTCTGAGGCCCTCAGAGCCATGGTGCGGATGTTCAAGTTGCCAGGCATGGAGTAGGGATGGAGAGAAAATCAGTAGTCCAAGGCCTGATATCTCTGGCAAAGAAGAGTGACCAGGAGGTTGACAGGAGACAGGAGTGATGAAAACAACCTCAGGTCACATCTTCAAGGCACCTAAAGGAAGAAGGAAGGGGATCGTTTGGCAGGACCTCAGGTACAAAGAATAGGATTGTCCCCTAATCTGGGATACATGGACTGCCAGAACAGATAGTGTCCACTTGGGAGGATGCAAGAGAGAAAGTGGAAACATGGGCAAGAAGGTAAGAGACAGAAGCTGCTGGAGCAGGCTGGCAGCAGAGATGCTTCCTGCATCCCAGGAGGAAGCCTGGGGTCAGGAGTGGGGCTGTATGGAATGAAGTTTTCCAGAGTAGGTTCTGAAGAGAATGGATTTTCACAACACACCTCGAGTGACCCAAACTGTGCTCAGCATAGGTGGAGGCAAGATGACAATCTCAAACCTCAAATTAGTTCCTTAGAAACAATCTGTGTTAAGCCTTCAATATGCAAAAGCAGAAACCCAGGCCAGAAGCTTGCACAGGCAGGAAGGCGCAGAACTGCATCTGGATCTGACAATCCCTCCTTTTCTTGGGGTCAGAACACCCACCCCTTCCCCAGCCCCAGTCCACCTGGTTCTGCCACTCCTGAGCACCTACCAGGCTCCGGGGTCAATCTCCCAAGACAACTGTCTTCCCTTCAGTGCTCTCAAAGGAAAAATCTCTTCCATGCCCCGTGTCCTCAAGGTCAAACAGCACAAATGGGCAAGGACACCAAGTTGTCCTTTCTGGGAGCTCGTGATGTCTAAACTCCACTGAGTTTCATTTTCCGGCCTCACAGGAATTAAGGCCTTTGGCAGAAGTTTCTTTGCTAAGGTTCAATGTTTTGCAACAAGGCTCTGCTAGAAATTTCTGGCCAAACCGACAAGATGCAGGTATTTCCTACTTCTCTGGACTCTTTAAATAACTCCTTTGAACAGAACAAAACCTTCATAAAGCTGTCTCAGGAGGCCAGCATTGGTTTATAGAAAAGACAATATTCCTGTGTCCAAGGATTTTTCAGCCTAAAAGAAGTTTCCAAGTAATAGTGTTTTTTTCCAGTCAAAATCCTAAGAGTAGATTTCCCCTTAGATTACAATATATAAATGTATTAAGTAGGAAATATACTTGACAGCATGAATTCAATTGGTCTGGAAAAAGACATTTATTCATTTAATGCCTATGTGGGATTAAAGTCCAGTGGGAAACCACAAACAAATGCAAAATTGAAATCATATAATTACTATCATGAGAATATGCACAAAGGGCAGGACAGGAAATTGCAGAAACCTCCAGAGAAATGAAATTGTAGTTAGCCTAATGGTGATGTTTGTCATAACTGGATACTGTCCTAAGGCTGCACGTTTATTAGCTCACTCACCCCTATAATTTGCTAAGAGAGACATTCTTTATATTCTCCTTTTACAAATCCTTCCTCTAACACACAGAGGTCAGGTAGCTCACCCAGGTCACAGAGTCAGTAGGAGATAGATCTAAAACTTAAGCTCAAGCACTCAGCCTCAGAGTCTGCACACTTAACCACCTTGCTGCTTATAGCAGTGGCACACAAAATAATCCACGTGGCTGCCTGGGGAGTACTCTTGTAAACTGTAATATTTAAAATCTATGGACCATTCCACAAAGTGTACTCCCAGGATAAATATGCAATGTAAACAGAGTCCATGAATTGTCCAATGTCAACTCTACTTTCCCCATCATGCACCCTGATTCTCTGTACAGTTATACTGTTCTAGTTTAAGATTAGCAATTTTAGTAAGTGTGCATCCCTGAATACGACAGGCCCCACTGTCTCCTGGGTAATTCCTGTGCATCCCGCAAGTCTCACTCTCAATGCTGTCTCCTCCTTAGAGCTTTGTCTTGACTTGCTCAGATAGACTTGCATTCTCTGGTTACCAGATCCTGGCCCACTTATTTTCCAGTGGTTTCCATGGTCCCTTCTCATTAATCCACACATAAGCAAGGAATCCACATACAGACAAGGAATCCAGAGGATAAAAACCTTTAAATTTGTCACTGATAATTGCAACTGATACTGGTGTGCCAAATGCAATGGCATTGGTAAAATGAGAGGCAGAGACGTGATGGCAAGAAGGGAGGATTTAATTCCATTCCAACTGCATCACCCTCTCCACTGTCCTTCTTAGGTTTCTTACTGTACATTATGAGGATCATTGTTTTAGAATCTTCTGTGGGTATGTACCTATAGGGTGACTCTGTTCTTCTACTTTTGCTTTCACTTCTCCTGCAGAAGTGAAAATCCTTTATACTTTCCTAAATTTTAACAGATTTTTAAAGTGCCTATTTGTTTAAGTGTGCCAGGCACTGGGACAAGCCCTGGGGCATAAAGGTGAGAGAGACTTATTCCCTGTCCAAGGAGTGTGAGACAGACACAAACACAGAGATAAAATCTCCCTGAATGATAGGTGACAGGGAAGGCTTCCTGGACTGGGGTCGCTAGGAAAAGCCCCTTTCAGCCAGGTGAAGGGAAATGTAAAATTTCCCAGTAGAGGGAATGATAGGAGCAAAAGCAGCAACTAGAGTAGAGCACAGCCAGACTGTCAGCATGAAACCCAAGGCCAGGGTGTTAGGCATGACAGTGGAAAGTCAAACTGAGGCCAGGACATGGAAGGCTATGTTGGTTATGGGTCTCTTAGTTTCAAGTAACAGAAACTCAATTTGTAGTAGCTCAAGTAAAGAGAGCATTTTTGGAAGGCAACTGGAGTAATTCCAAAGTCAGGGAGATAGCAGAGCCACAG